GATACTCGGCAGGCCATTTCCACCGAGTTCTCAGAAACATGGTCTGTTGTTTACAAAGCAAAACGTTGGCAAAGAACAACAGAGGTGTCCTGTGCCAATAAGTGCAGATCCAAGAGAATTTCTACTAAGTGACCCATGCCAGATAGCCAGCCTGGGCACAGGTGTGATGAACTGAATCCAATATGTTATACTAAGTCATCTGTCAGAGCAGCATCTATTATTAATGACAGGTTATATATATAATTTTTTGCATACTGTACATTATATTGCTGTGATGTCTAAATTCACTTGTAGCATTTAAATTGACTGGTTTTAGTTTTAAGTGTTTTATTGTGAATTTATTTAGACAGGACATTTATAAATGTGTTGCCATAACATGGATTTCTTTTTTCAACATTAAATTGTTTTCTATGGGTTTTTTTTCAAAGGCTATGCTGAGATTACTGTTCAAATTTAATTTTATAAACATTTACAAAAATAAAATGAACTTCACTTAGAGTATATTTATTTGTACAGTAAAAAAAAACAGTAAAATTTTGCATTGGGATTTAGAGCTTCTCTGTACACACACAAGAAAGATCAATCTCAATGAGCCAAATCTACTGTTGTGTTATGCAGCGCAAAGATCCCAGCAATATAGCAATTGCATGCCCTATTCCTGGAACATCTTGTTAACACAGATCAGCAGTGGTATTGTAACACAATAACGCATAGCGGTTGATAAAACAAGACGTGGTATGCTGGGAATAGCTCACTTCAGAGCAATGCAAGAAATCATGTACTAATCTCATATGGCAGGGCTTCAAATCTGTCAAATGCAGTTGTTGTGGCTAGTCTTTTTATGGAGATTCAGCATAGACAGAACTGAGACAAAACTAGTTCTCCAATTTAAATAAACTCTCAGGAATCACATCAGATTTGGATGCCAATAAAGAATGGCTAAAAACATAAGCCAAACAAATAGTCATATAGTTGTAGTATGCATTAAATAATAAATGGATAAGCATGTAATAAAAAAAAAATGTCTTGTCATAATTGTTTGTATGGTCTTAGATCAAAATGACCCAGTGTCCTACAAGCCAAACTGCCTGTGCAGAAACAGTATGTTCTGTGTGCAGTTCCATCTCATGTAATCACAAAAATATCAGAATCTGCCATCTGTTTGAAATATTTGATTTAATGAACTGGAAAGTCATGGATGAGTGCATGGATAGATGGATGACTCTAGGGTCTCTCTAGAGTCTAGATGGTTTCCAAAAGCTGATTTAGATCTATGGTTCCCAACCAGGACTTCACATACCCCAGAGCCCATTTAAGTAGGTCCCAAGGGGCTTTTGGAAAGTGTGTAAAATAGATATAAATAGAAATATACAATATAGAGATTATGAAGAGACAATACAGCGCATGATACACACATTCTCGGCACATTCACTTCCATCCTCGTTACATTCTCTTAGTCTTTATCAATATTAAACACAAACGAATTAACATTTGTTCTTGTCAAGGGTTATGTTTAATATTTTAAAAACAGATATGATGCCTCATCAATGCATTTAATTGGTTTCCAGGTTTTTTTTAAACTACATTTCAAATCATGTTGCTTAGCAAGTCTCTCTTTGTGAATTTTCCTCCCCCTACACAGAGGGTATTTTCTAATAATCTTGTTTTTGTGCTCTTCCATTCTCTGATAACTAACTCAGTCCTGTTTGAAATTCAGAGATGCTCACCAGGTGTCAGAGAAGATATTGAAAAGCTAGATGCATGCAGGCAGAACACACTTGGGAAAAGAAAAAATGCTGTCTGCATTAAATGAGATGGTTTAAGGTTTTTTCTAGAATTGTGGGTTTTAGTAAATAACCGTTTATCTACAAATAAAAACAATATTTATTTCTTTTGAACTTTAAAAGCATTTAGAAACAAATACCTGACTATCAATATGGTATAGGGTTGTATGGTACAGATATAACAGTGTAGGCTGTAGGCCAGTGGTCGTTGGCAATAATATCTGGCCGGCGCCCGCAGCCAGATTATTTTGATTGCGGATGGTTCTGAAATAGATCTGTCATGACAGCAACGGTTACTCACAATCACTTCGTCTTTAGTGATTTTGGCTTCAAAAAGAAAAGTACGAGAACGTTTTATTTTTAGATAAATTGAGAGCTTTTAATTTGAAAAGTTCTGAAAGACATTCAAAAGAGTACGTGGATCGCTAGACACACCTCTAAAATAGGAGTCATGAAATGTCAAATATTATATTCTTTGCAAATAAAAACTTTGAATTTTTTGTTGGGCCCGATGCCAAACTTACTTGCCGACTCCTGCTGTAGGCTAACCGAACCCAATACTCTTAATTGGATAAATAAATTACTGTTTCCTGGAGCTCTGAAAGAACTAATGCATACTGTCCTAAACATTATAACATTATAATTATAGAGGATCTGTGTACACATTAACATCCATCTCAAGCGATCCAAATACAAGTGGACAGCCACGACAATACAAGTCTCCTGTGTGCACTTGTGATCAGAATTTGAGGAGTCTTTTGCGACTACCGGTACATAAAATACTGCCAGTGTTTCTGCTTTTCTTATCTAAACTGCCTAAAAGCATGAAATAAACTACACTGAGGAATTTTTTTTTTTTTTTATTTTATTATTATTCCTTCCTGTTCCAGCAAACAAGCATTTTCAACAAAAGAGTGAGAGATTAGCACGGCCAGAGTGCTTGTCTGCAGGTCAGATAAAATCCTGGAACCAATAAAGTCATTAACCAAAGTGTTTTTATCACCCCAAAGTACAGTGATGAGTAATGTGCTTCTCTGTGCCAATGTGCCATACTTTTTTGAAAGAAAGACAAAACAATGGAGGAAAGAGGGGAAGAGAGAAGGTTTAACAGAGATTACAGGCTAAATACATTACACACACTAAATACAAATAATGTGTTATGTTTCATTGTTTGGGACACTATACTGAACGTACAGCTAGTATAATATGCATATAAACTTATACTTACAAAAAATGTAAGTATGAAATTAGGCATGCCTACTACTTTCATACTACAGTATATAGTAGGCATAAAAACAGTATGTGAGCCAAGTAGTATGTCCGAATTAATAGTAATCATAAAACAGTAGGACAAAAGTACCCACATGACCTACTACTTCTAGTGAGTTTCTTTAGTGTGTATCCACTGGACACTTTACTATCCCATGAGGTCACAGGAGAGGATTTGTGAATAGCAGTGAAAATAGCAACTGACCCCGTAGGTCACATGACAGTGGCAACATGGTGGATGTCTGATTCATACTTCCTTCAGACTATATAGAACATACTTTTTTAATGGTCACTGTTATGTGCTCAGAGGATATGGTGTTCTGTTGTTTTACTTTCACTTCAAGGCGGTGCTGTTGGCTGTTAAGGCTGTCAATCATCATTGCGACGTTTACACCTGAATGGGCGTCCCTGTTATAAAAGTCTGACGCAGACCGGAAGCGGGAGAGAGAGAAGGAGGGAGCTGATTCTTTTGTTTTGTCACGCTGGGTTGTTAGCGTGTCTTGTTTTCGTTTTTTGATTCTTTGTTTATCCTCTTCAAGATTGATTTCTCCCAATGGTTTGTTGTTTTTGTATTAAGTTGAAACTTTGAGTCTTTATGGGGTTTTTTTTCATATTGTCTTACAACCGACCAGGGAGTAGTGACCAGGGAAGTATGTCACGTGACTTCCATTTCACAACATCTAGGGAAGCACGTTGTTAAGACATTAGTTAAGGAGCGGGTGCCACCCACTATTGTATGTTTTGAGTTTCTTAAGTAGTATAGATTAGGTAGGGCATGTTGAACACCGACGACTTTATTTTGTTTCTGGTATCTTTTTTTCCCTGTTGTATTAGTAGTTTATTGGGATGGGGATGTAGTTAGAATGCGGGTTTTGTTTTATTTTTTCTTTGATTTAGCCCCGCTCAGGTTCCTACTCCCTGTAGGTCCCTGTATTTGTGTTTTTTCTAGTCTCTCTCTTTTGAGCACTTTGTTGTAAATAAATATATTCCTTTTCTCAATTTAAACTCCCTTTGTTCTCATGTTCTTTTGCACACGCACCTTAAACACGTTACAGGGTGTTCTCTCAAGCCCTAAGCCATTTTAGGGACGTAACAGTCACAAAGCAAGTTTTAAACCAAATGTACCTACTATAACAGTATGCGATTTTGGACGCAGCAAGGGTCTGAAAATACCTGTGAAGGTAGAAATATTGGTCTCATACGACCAAGACACAACAGGAATCTGTCTCTCCCGATTGATAAAACCTCAATCTGATTCTGACCTTTAGATACAGATACACTATAAAGGCTGAAACCATATTCATGGTGGGCTCAGGGAAGTGAGTCACGGATAAAGTGGGAAGGGAGGGCCCTTCCTGTCATTTTGTTTTAAAGTATGACAAAGAATGATGGGAACTTCCTCATGCTCTCTATCAATGACTGGAATGCCATGTGTGTGACATCACGAGGGAGACAATGCTAAAATAGATTATTTAAAATAGATTTTGACATTTTTTTGAAAAGTGGATTTTTTTTTCTTTTTCTGAAAGAAGTTTCTTATGCTCACCAAGGCTGCATTTGTTGGATCAAAAATACAGTAAAAACGGTAATACTGTGCAATATTATAACAATTTTAAAATGGTTTTCTAATTATTTATCAGCAGCCATAACTCCAGTCTTCATTGTAACATAATCCTTTAGAAATCAATCTAATATCCTGATTTGGTGCATTTTTGTTATTGTTATAAATGTTGAAAATATTTATGCTGAAATCACATTATTATAAATATTTTTTGTAACAATCTAAAAGTCTGTACTGACACTTTTGATGAATTTAATGCATCCTTGCTGAATTAAAGTGATAATTTCTTTAAAAAATATATTTTTGATAAGTAATGTACTATTATTTTATATAGACATTATTATGTAACCAAAGTAGTTCTGAGCAGAAGGGTGCATGAGACTCACATGAGCCGCGTCTCCTCCGTCTTGCGCAGCTGCATGTCCCGTTGCACCACCTGCATCACATGCTCAGCCTCCACATCCGTCAGACCAGAGAGATCCAGTTTACTCCCCATCCTTCACCTCTACAGAGCTAATAAGATACCTGCCCTGTCCGACTGTTAGCTGAGGACAGTAATGGAAGCAAAAAAAAAAAAAGAGTAATTTAATTAATAATAAAAAATATAAATACAAAAAGCAGCTGCGTCACTGGCAGCTGTTTTTTGACCTTACAGTTTGAACTTACAGATGTCGGATATTGTTTTATGTATGAGATTTTTTATTTCATACTTTGACATGGATTGGTTAATGCCTCATAGTGGTAGCTCTAGTTGCAGCCTAGGATGTAAATCTGAAGACATTCAGATTATGATTTCATTATGAAATCAACATAATACAGTCTATTGTAAAAGTCCAAAGCAAAAGCTCTTGCATAAGGTTGTTAAATCAGCCTGCAGCTGAAATAAGGCACACATTTTGTGAGGCCCCTGAGAGTCAAGATCCCAACAATGCCATTTGTATCCACTGCTGTGGATGTGTTCTTTAATATTATATCTGAGACCACTGTTATAATTCTGGCATTTCATAAAAAAGAAAATAACTTTTCAATGGTACCACCACATGCCTGTGTTAAAGAAAATCAAAATGGAAGCTATTTTTAGGAAGCTAGTGTTTCCCAGTGTTGTTACTGTTAACTAAAACTAAAACTATTAAAAATCGTTTCCGCTAATTGAAATAAAGCAGAAATAAATATAAATATTGAATGCAAAACCCAAACTTAAAAATGAGAAAAGTTGCCTTGGCAATCAACTTAAATAAAAGATGTTTAAGTTAAAGTACTACAATGAAACCTAAATAGAAATATTTAAATAAAAATAATAAAAAAAAGTTTCAAATAATGAAAACTGAAAATACAGAAATAAATGCTTATATGAATATATGAATATGACAAAAATATGAATAAATATGATAATAGTATAGCACTGTAAAACTAACAGATCTTTCAAAGCAACCTCGAAACCATCTGCTGAGCCAACAGTGAAAGCAAACACAAAGCTTTTGCCCATGAGCTACAGTAACTACAATTCATCTGTCAGAAAGTGTCAATGCATTAAAAGGACAGTTTGTCATCATTTACCCTCAGCCTCAGTCACCATGAAAGTGAATGGTGCCTGAACCTGTCATTCTGCTTATCATCTCATTTTGTGCTCCACAAAAGAAGAAAATACAACGTGCTGAACAACATGAGGGTATGACAGAATTTTAATTCCTGAGTAAACTGTCCCTTTAAAGCAGACTTTGAGACAGCTTAAGTCGACGTCGAGCTCTCAGAAAGAAACAGAGACTACAGTATGATCACAACAAGCTGCTCCTGCTGAGTTTGGATAGCAAAGATGCAGGTCTATTCCTACATGAGACAGCTTAAAGTTCTCACAGGCTTTATTTGCTGGAATACGACTAATCATGCAGGCACATTTATATAAAATTCTGCCTATAATAATAATAATAAAAAAAACATACTTGACTGGATACATAGAATTGTTAGGCTATATTGGGAAGAACTAGTTTAGATGCGAAACTTACCGTCGCGTCTCTTCACCTCAGTCTCCACGTCAGCTTTCTTCGACCAGCGACTGCCAAGCTGTCAAGATGTGAAGACCAAATCATTATAAATGTCCGCAGACCGCTTCAAATCAATACGGTCGGCTTTCAGTGTCTTTCGGACATGTTCGAAGTTAACCTTTTGACAAGTTTGAAATTCAAGAGTGTCTGAAGTGAAAAGGCATAGAAACAGAGCGCGTGCGTAGCGGGCGCGTGTACCTGCTGTGGTCTCATGCCATTTTCGACCACGAGACCAAAATCTACCAACCTCCGGTTAGCCAGGAGACTGCGATGCTGCAACAGTGCTGCTAATCCACTTTTTGGACGTGTAGGACTTGAACGGCCGCTGATACCATATTGAGAATAGTTTGTTTGTTGTAAGAAGATTAGTACATAAATAAAAAAAATAGGCCTGATTTGATTTAATCCAAACAACCTGTGGGCTAAATTTTTACCATAAACAACAATGATGATATGATACGATTATTTTATGTTTTTTTTTTTTGTATGTTTTTTTTGTATACGTGATTTGATTTACAGTTAATCGGTTTAATCCAGTCTAAAACCAGTCTAAGCTCATTTTCGGGTCTTGATCAGTTGTTTAATTCATCTGTTGGATTTTGTGGTAATAATTTTATATGAGTTTTGGTCACTTGGTCAGATTAGGAGACCAGCTTAAACCAGCTAAAATCAAAACCAACAAACCATCTTAGACTGGTTTCAGCAGAGACGTATTTGTTGATGCTTATTCCTACAGTCCATGTCCATGTCACTGATCTGCAAATTCAGACTCTAAGGCAAGTTAATATTCCAGCATTTTCAGACTTAAGCTTGGTCACATGTAGATCCTGTCAGCCCTTTCTGTGCCATTGTTTTCAATCCAGCTAAGTACCCTGAGTTTTTCCCTCCTCCTTGCTCTTTCTCACCACCCATTCTGAGACTTACTTCTTTTCAAGATCACTTTTTACATTATTGTTTTCCTTCGTTTCTGAAAAAAAATAGTATTCTATCATCTATTTTCCTGCAATTAAGTTATAAATCAATAGCAAGACCGAGAGTTGGATGACAAAACACAGCCTTAAGAGATATAGCCCCTCAGCCACACAACTCACTCATAATAAATCATCTTGTGTGCCAGTATTAGACAGCAGATCAAACATTACATCCCTAAGCAGTGTGTTTTTTTGTTCAAACCTGCAAGTGTATTTCAAAACATTTTCGTCAGGGAAAATGTTCCTGCCCCTTTTTTGGACATCTGGTAGTGATTGTTTGAGTATAAAGCAGAGATGAAGTGCACTTGGACTGCAGAAAGCAGCAGGATGAAGGGTAGTGTGCAGCTAGGGCTGTTGTGTTTCGGCCTGCTCATCTCCAGTCTTCATGGGGAAGTCGAGACAGATAACAGCATGGAATTAGTTCTTAATTTGGAAGAGCCGGATCTTTATCAGCCTGAGGTGAGGAATAAAATTTGCTGGCAGTACTTTACTGAGGTCAATCACTGGGGTTAAAAGGAAGGACTTTTAAAAGGGATAGTTCACCCAAAAAATGAAAATTCTGTCATCATTTATTCACCCTCAAGTTGTTCCAAACCTGTATAAGTTTCTTTCTTCTGCAGAACACAAAAGAAGATATTTTGAAGAATGGACCCCATTGACTTTCATAGTATGGAAAAAAAATACTATGTAAGTCAATGGGGTCGCATCAACTGGTAACCGACATTCTTCAAAATATCTTCTTTTGTGTTCAGCAGAAGAAAGAAACTCATACAGGTTTGGAACAACTTGAGGGCGAGTAAATGATGACAGCATTTTCATTTATGAGCAAACTATCACTTTAAGGGGCATTTTTTCTTGTGGCATGTTTTTTCTAAATATAGGTCATGATTTTATTTTTTTTATTTTTTTTGCAAAATGATAGAATGCATCAATTACCTAATTTCAAATAGCAATTATGCTTAAAAAAAACTTCAAAGTCATTATTAGCAGTTGAAAATTGTTGACTAAGGTAATGATAGACAATAACCATGCTGACAGGTAACACAATTATATTTTGAAAAAAATTCATAATTACTCTTTTAACAATAATTTTTTTTTAAAGATGAACAGAGTACGACGACAGACTGTCTCCACAGAGAAGGAAGATTCGGCAAAGAAAGAAGTTGTTGTTCCATCAAGTGTAAGTACACATCTAATAAAGTAGCTTGTACTATTGCACAACTTGTGAGATGATTTTTCCAGCTGCTGCAGTTTCACAATCAATGAAATAACCCTACAGGGGTTGGATGATAATCAAGCCATAATCAAGCTCTCTTAGATGACTACTAAAATGCCATTAGTGCATTACAATATAACCATTTAAAGATTTCACCTGCAGCTATATCTGACCCATACTTGCTCCACAATGTAGACATGGTCATGTAAAACTTGTCACCTGAAAATTTTTATTTTCATTCTTTTTAATGATCTAAAGGTGGACGGCAAGATTAAGAGAGGAAAAAGGCCACGTCCAGGAGCTTTCACCCTTTCAGAAGACGATAAATATTCTGAGGTATTCACTCTCCTCATATGCCATTAAAATATAAATAGTGAAATAATATAAAGACTATAGGTAAATGGATAAAAGGGTTGAGTTATAAAGCATTATCAACCCAAGCTTCACCAATTTAATGATTTTATATTCTAGAAATATGTTGACTACACTGAACTCATCATTTGGTGATCTCAGTTAAAGGTTTATCGCACCAAGAGGCAGAACAAAAGCAAGAACAAACCGAAAAAACGCCCGGGATTTAACAGCCTTTTAGGAAAGGGACCTCAACTTCACATGGTATTCTCTATCCTCTGATCACCCTGTCAACGTGCCATTTTAACACATTTTATTAAAGATATACACTGACCTGCTTTACACTGAACTTCTCATCTGCCCAACTCAGGAGACTGCCCGTGCCAAAAGGGATGAAGGTGCCGGAGGACATTAAACCATTATACGCATTCAAGGCTCCTTCCCAGGTAACACATTGTAACATATTTACATAATATGAAAAAATGGTACTAGGCTTAACAGATGTTCTCTCCTTACAGGTTCCCGGAATCAGTAAAAATAGGGATTGCATATATAGAGCAACACCATGTTTCATAAAGAGCCTCAGGTTATGCTTGTGAAAGTAATCATTTATCTTTCTATAGCTTTCTTCTTTCTCTCCAAGAATATTTAGTTGAGTAATAATCTGAAATGGATTCTCCAATTTCTGCAAGTCTAAGAAATATCACTAGGCGGCAGTATTTACCCAAGAGATGAGCACTCAAGCCAGTTTGGCTTTTCACAAAGTTTATTTGATGTCTGTTGATCTTTATCTCTTAATTAAAATAAAGAATTTGTGTTTAAATGTCACTCTTTATTGTGTATAACTTTCCTTAGAGGTTTGGTTGTATTGTGGGGTTTAAGGGAGTAGTGAAGAATGAAAGGAATGACATGTTGATATTGTCAAGCATAAATAGTCTGAGAAGCTATGTGTGTGTTAATGGATTCTGTGAGATGTGAACAGCATAACTATCACTCCTCTTTTGTATTTGAGTGGTTCTGCCAGTTAAATGTGCCAGAAAAGTTGTTTGCCTGAAGAAGCACGCAAAATAATATGTTTCTTGCCAGGAACTTGTCAAAACACATTGGCGGTCCAAATTAAATAAAAGCAACACTCTCTCTTCCTTATCTGCAAAATCCTTGATAATAACACCAAACTATTTCCTGTGCATTTCACTTTGTTGCTATTTAGGCATCTAAAATATGCCGGAAAAAACATTTTGTCTGCAATCACAATGAGGCAAAGTACCACTGCCTTCACACTGAACCCAAAAAAGCAACCACACGCAACCATGCAAAAGCAACAACTTGCTCTTACACAGGTATACAATGAACAGATGTTAGACTACAAAATAAGTCAACAGCACTTATTTCTCAACAACAACAAAAAAGCAGATATAAGATTTATTATTATGGCAGAATAATAATAAAAAAAGAATTTGATTAACAAAAAATAATGTGTATGCATATAAGAATATCCAAAATGACTATATTCAAAGAAACAAGGTTTCAAATGAATATGCTGTGGCTGTGCATTACATTTATGCCATATGCGCTCTGATGTTCTTGTTAAAACAAATTTAAAGGCATGTCTGTGGACAGTTGCTGGAGACGCACATTAGAACAGAGATAGGTTCACAGTATGGTGAGGTGTGGGAGTAAAGCTCTGCATGCATGAGTCACAGTAAACACACTCTGTTCTCACAGGAAGAGCAGACAGAAACAATCTACTCAGCCTCCAGGCAAAGCCTAGAATCTCACAAGGTAAGAGAAACATTGTATTATCAGTTTCAAAAAATTCTTTTGTTTTTAGATAGAAGTTTAATATGATCCAGATGTTGGCTGCTGAAATTGCACACTGTTTGTGAGATAAGTCTTGAACAGAAAGTATGCAAATTGCCATGAACTGTATTAAAATGTGCAAATCTGCTATTTGAAAATAATTATAGCACTTATTCACATAATTATAGCATTTATCAGATCATTGTTGTTAAATGTTCCAAATTACTGAAAATACCATGTTTGGGTTCAAGCCTAATTGAAATAACACTCATTTACGGTACAGCCTTTGACTAGTTTACAGTACGATGTAAAAGATTTGTGAAAACATTTGTTTCCAGAACTTCTGCTTAATACAATTTGAAAATATAAAGAATCAAAGATGTTACGATTTTCACTTTTTCATATATATGGAAGGGGGGATGTTTAAAGAGAAACTAACTTGTTGGAGCACATGTTGGATTACACAGGAAACCTGGAAAGGATTTCCAAAGCTTAACTGATATCCATCTCTAGTTTCAGTTTATCTGTGATTTTAAGCATGCATAGAAAAAGGGCACTTGATAAAAGCCGAGTGGGAATGTTCGGAATGAAGGTGCTGTTACACGCCTGCAGCAATAAAACTGTCTGGTAGCCATATGCTTTCTCTCTGCTTTTCTGGAAGAAAGATCAACACTACATCTGCTTGATAATTTGCACGCATAAAAACTAAAAACTTTCAAACTAATCATTGTTTTTAATTTCAGAGCTTTAGAGGAAAAATGGAGATCTCAGAGGAACATTACTATGACTACACCGAGTTCGAAAACAACAGCTCCAACTTCAGCTACGATGATTATCAGACCATCTGTGAGAAGGGCGACGTGCGCTCCTTCGCGAGGATCTTCCTCCCAGCTGTTTTCGGGTTATCTCTAGTGCTAGGTTTAGCAGGGAACGCTCTGGTTGTGGCGGTGTACGCGTACTGCAAACAACTGAAAACGATGACTGACACGTTTATACTTCACCTGGCTGTGGCAGACCTTTTGCTGCTCCTAACGTTGCCCTTCTGGGCTGCAGATGCCGTCCACGGCTGGAAGCTCGGGGTCACCGTCTGTAAACTCGTCTCTGCCCTGTACACCATCAACTTCACCTGTAGCATGATGCTCCTGGCCCACATCAGCATGGATCAGTACCTGGCTTTGATGCCGGGAGTCAGAAACAGAGGCCTTGCGTGCGCTTTTCAAAAGAAGCATTGTGGAAAACTCTGTTTGGTGGTCTGGACCGTTGCATTTTTTCTTGGAGTCCCCGATTTGGTGTTTTCAACGGTCAGAGAGCTTCCTCATAAAAAAAGCTGCATTGCAATGTATCCGTCAGACATGGCGCTCAGGGCTAAAGCTAGTTTGGAGGTGGTGGAGGTCATGATAGGCTTCTTGCTACCTTTGTTAGTGATGTTGTTCTGCTACACCTGTGTAGGCCGAGCCCTATTGAAGCTCCCTCAGGAGAGGAGGTGGAGGAAGTGGAGGTCCATCCGTGTGCTGCTGGCGATGGTGGGCGTCTTTGTGGTCACGCAACTGCCCTACAATGTGGTGAAGTTTTGCCGGGCCGTTGACATCATGTATACATTTGTAACTCACTGTGGGGTTAGTAAAGTGCTGGATAGGGCTACTCAGATCACAGAAAGCCTGGCATTGACACACTGCTGTCTAAATCCTGTTCTGTACACTTTCGTCGGTTCCTCCTTCAGACAGCATGTATTGAAGTGTGCCAAAGACTTTGGAGACAGGGGTAGAAGGTTGGCACACGCGAGAGAGCAACAAGAAGTGAATATCTCCTTGAATTCTCATTCACAGTCCCAAGACACCAGTACTTTTTCCATTTGAGCAAAGTGAAGGAGATGGTGTAGAATGTTTACCAGCCTGTTGAGGCTATGCACCATCTGCCCCTTTGCAAATATGTAAATAAAGTGGCTTTGTTTTTAATAAAAAAGGGCAGTATTTTGAGCAGAAGAGTATAGGCTAATTTTTCATTGAAGTAAAAAGTGAGATGAAACATGTTGCTAGTTGCGTTTGTATGAAAAAGAACAAAAAAAGAACAAGTCGGCGGAGTGAAACGAGAGACATGAAAGTAGCAACCGTACTAGTAGCTGACTGATGGTACATTCAAGTTCACCTGGGAAGTTCATATTTACAAGTTGGGAAGTTGTATTTACGACATCAGGTGCATTTAAGTCACTTTAGTCAGAGCAAGACAGCGACCTTTCTACAATAAATTCTGTGAAATTCTTAACTCTAATGACAAATAAAGAATGCGCATCAATTGTTTTTAATGTTTTTATTTAAAACAGTACGTTATGCTGCCTGATATTGCACACTGGTTTTTATCATATTATTTAAATTATCACAATCATAAACTTTTTGTGCAAATAGTTCTACCGTTTACTGACTTTTGTTATTCTTCTAGTTATATATCTGTAGCGACAAATGAATCGTAGGTCTTGCACATTAATCGATCACTTCCGCTGCGGCATTACCAGATGTGGATTGCGTCCAGCGTCCGCCATATTGTTCACTGACACGCCCTCAACTCAAGTCGGAAACTTTGAGTTCAAAGTTTCCCATTTTATAATGTGCTAGCATTCATGTGCATTCAACTCGTAAATATGATCTTTACGGCATGACTTGAACGCACCATTATTAATATTAATATAACTCTTTCCCTGCAATTGACGGAATTTTCCATCATTTATGAGACAACGCTTCCCAGCCATTGAAGCAATTCGGACTTTCAGTGTTTTCACTGTTATAGGGGCGCTAAATTACACAGCTTCTGAATGAGTACAAAATCTCCGGATCAAAACACAGGCAAAAAAGGAGCAAAAACAAGCGATAAAAGCATTGTAGTCTTTTGCTGCAGTCTGAAAAAAACATGATTTTCTCAGCTTTTTGTTCAAAATACCTGCTTTTTATTACACTTACTCACATTCAAATGTTGATGATAATATAGAATGCATGAAGCTAGAATAAAACCTTTTTTAGCAGAGGACCTCTTTCTTTGATATATTGCATGTTCAGATATTCAAACAACAAAAATATTCTGGGGGTCATGACAGTTTTGTGAAAAAATTGTTTTCAGAAATGCTGGCGGTGGCTGGCAACTTTTTTTAAATCGCTTGGAAAAAGTTAAATAAGACCACTATGTAAGGGATAATGTCCACTTTGCATCAGGGTCCTGATCACCCTGCCGGGGTTTATTAAGCGATAACAACAGGCTGGATGTACATTATCCCGCTTATTACATGACTAAAGTTACTTGCCACATAAGTAAATAATTAGACATGAAATATTGATCTGAGTTGAAATATTTTATTAGCTCGTTAAATGCAAAGCTTCTGTCGAAAAAGCAGTTGCTAGCAAGCGGCAAGTTCAAACTAGCATTTAAAGGATATGGTACAGTCATACTCATACCACTTATTACACAGCATTTCGCCACATAAATAATTATGAGGATAAGAGATACTGATTTGAGATTAAACTGTTTTAAAATTGTACCTGTTTGTTATATTATAATCCATTACAGTGTACAAAACAATGGTAAAATGGCAGCAGCTGCGTTTTTATGAAACAGGAGAGAGCGAGTCCGCGATAGGCTACATAGGATGACATAGGGCTAATTAAATAACTATAGGCCTACACAAAATATTGACTTTACTGACTTTTAATATTTTATTAGCTCACTCACCAAACGCAAAAATTCCGCCGACTTCAGTGATGATAGAAACCCGGACGAGCCTGTGTTATTAGTTTTTTTTTTTTTGAGGAGAAACAGAGCAGCAATCAAGAGCAATCTTGGCCAATTCCCATGGGTCACAGCCGGGGTGACATAGCATCTGCATTAACTCCAGCTGCACAATCCAAACAAACCTAAGTAAACACATAGGATCTTTCACGATACTCACAGGATCCCAAAAATCACTGAAAATCGTTTTTTTTTTTTTTTTTTTTTTTTTTTTTTAAGACACTCCGACAAGGAATACAAGTTGATTGAACAGTTTATTGAACTTTTAGACAAAATTTTGAAAGTTTTAGAATTTTTTTCTTCTTCTGATATTCGATATGGGCTTTTATGACCCATATTGTATTGAGAAAATGGCGCACACGAGAGAAGGAAAAAACATCAATTTTATTCAGAGCAAAAAACTAAGTTTGGCGCAGATGTTATTTAAATGACCAAAAAGTAAGTTGTAATTCTGACAGCTTGTAAAGTAAATCAATGAGATTTTTATAACATTAACAGACTACTTAATTAAAATACAGTTGTCAATCGAATGTCTAAATTAGATCATTGCTCTATCATTTTAATTGCGCCTGTTGTATATTTGATACATTAAAAAAAATGATGGATAAGTAAAGTCCAGTAAAATGTTTATCTTGAAATATTAAATATATAATATCAATATAATACAATGCACTGTCAACAAAGTATTTTTTTAATGTTTTCTTTATAGAATCTTCACTAAAGGTGTATGATCCAGTTGGCTTTATATGGTTAAACTGTACTTTACTAGACTTTTCTGGTTCGTTATGGCCACAATCTTTGGTCTATTTAAAAAGAGCATTACATTTTCTGTAAGTTGAGTCTTCATTTTAAAAAACTGTTGCTAAAATTACCAATGCTGTATGTGAAAATTTTAGTAAAAGAAAGAGAAAGGGGAAAAGATTGAGGGATCTACTGAAAATAAGGTAAAAGAGGAATTGATGGATAGATTTTGACAACCCAAAATAATGCTTTATGTGTGTTATATTGCAGTGTTACAAACAAATACATTTCTTTTCCAAGACGAGATTCCATACAAAACATAAATGATCACAATACTTGAGCAAAAGCAAGTGTTTTTTATATATATATATATTTTACATATATAAAACTTTGGTTAAAAAAGTGCAACAGAACAAAAACATTGCTCTTGATTAGAAAACCTATACAGAGAAAATAAAGTTACTTACAATAATAGAAAAAAAACTGCATAAGGCACAATCTTGTGGAATGTATAAACAAAGATTATCCAAGGCAGTTTAACATCTTTATGTCCTCTAAACCAAGAACACCACAGTACAAATTATATTAATTCCCCTTTTAAATTAGGTAGGATTGCAATTTGCAATAGGATTACAATATATATTAAAAAAAAAAAATCTAATTAGCATTTCACAACAAGGTGAACAACATAGTAATATTCCAACATGACAGTCAGTTACAAAGACAAATAAAAAAAACTCCAGTACAAGTAAACTCCAATATAAATACGCACAGTTGAGTGTCAGTGTTTCTATCAATAGACTACAAAACTAACCAACATACAAATAATTAGTGTTGTGATTAAATAGTTAGACAAATAATCAAGCCACTCAAATGTCTTTGTGTGAGCTGTTAAATTATATTATACATTTTCATGTCACATTGTAGAGCTCCTGCTTACAATATGTGCTAAGAAGATAAAGTTAGAACCCTTTATAAAGTATCATGAACAACAATAAGACAGGGTGGCACAGAAAGGGCAAAAACAAAGAACAAAAAGATGATCTTAAGGCACATGTTCCAACAACGTGTCATGTTTGGGTGGTTTTAATTTCTCCGATTACATTTAAACTGCCCTCCAATTACCTTTATGAATTACACCATCACTCATCAGGAACAATGAATGAAGTCACAAAACTGAAAACAAACTAACGACTATATCAAACAAAATCACAATAGACACACAAGTGTCTAAAGTTTAGGTGGGAGGAGTTTCTTTTCTTCTCTCTTCCTCTTAAATATTAGTCATGGTTGAAGGCAGACAGGATAAAGCTGTTAAAGACTTGCAACCCTAAGCTAAGGATGAAATGTAAATGAATGTGAAACTGAGTGCAAGCCAAGGTTCAAGGAGCAGGCACTGAGGCAGGAATGCAGCCGTTGGCAGTGAGGGGGGGGGGGGGGGGGGGGCTCATTACCTTTGCTTTTGTCCTATGAAAGCAAGTGTCGACCGGTGTGGCATGAATCATGCTTTAATAATTAAGAATCTGCACATCAAAAAGGTCACAGACTCCCTCGTTGTCATCAAGGTTGAAATTGTAATCCACACCAGGGTTAGGTGAAAGTCTTAGCAAGGGGAAAACTACAGTGGTAAACACATAAAAAAATAATAAAAAAAAGTTATCACAGAGCAGATTGAGTTCATCCTATATTTACAAAAAAAAAAAAAAAAAAAAAATTATCAATAAAAGTACACAAATAAAAATATCAAAATTTTGGAAACTATCTTATGCCCACCAAGGCTGCATTTATTGATATACATTATAAACAGTAATTTTAAACAACTGTTTTCTATTTTAATACATTTTAAAATGTAATTTATTCCTGTGATGGCAAAGCTGAATTTCCAGCATCATTACTCCAGTCTTCAGTGTCACATGATCCTTCAGAAATCATTTGTATATGCTAATTTAGTGCTTAAGCATTTCTTATTATCGATGTCACAAAAGGTTGTGCATAACAGCGCTCTCGTGACTGCATAACAGGGATTAATGCCGTAACACAACAAGCCAAAGGCAAAAGTGATAAAGAAAAACTGGCAAGCATAGGAGAAAGAAGCCTTGAGAAGAACCGTCACTCAGCTGTTTTGTCAGGAATCAGAACATATTAAAAAGATTTATATGCACTGCTAGCTACATGATTAATTGATAAGGTCAGCAGTGAACTGCTTCAAGTCAGAACAAATATAACCAAGGAAGCTGTTCTGTGTGGCCACAAGGGGGCTGTGCAGAAGGCAAACACTGACACAAATAAATGGTTGGAAAATATTTTTTAAGAACTTACCATCTGAAGACATCAGTTCATCAATGAGGTTAGAAACACCTGGAGGAAAAGGAAAAAAGGCAAGTGTAAGAGATGCATCTCCTTGAAGTTCACTTAAAAATACAAAAATATCACACTATCTTTTTTGTTTGTTTGTTGGTATAATGGCATCCATGTTACCTTCTCTCTCATCCCTCATTTCTTCCAGCATGGACTGCAGATCCTGACCACCCATGTCCCTCTGCTGTTCTTCAGCTCCACCTAGAGAGCCCTGCATCAGCAAACACTGACTGGCAGGAGACTCAGGGTGGCATTCTTTATAAAAAATAAAATAAAAATAAAAAGGGTAGAAAAGAGGTAGAAATTGTAACTGAAATCAATCATTAAAATACTGTATAAAATTTCTCATATACACTACAATTCAAAAGTTTTTTTAAAGGTTTTTTTTTAGAGAAATTAATTATTTTATTCAGTTCAAAGTGTTCTTTTGAACTTCCTATTCATCCGAGAATCCTGAAAATATATAGCAGTTTAAGTTCAACATTGATAACATGGAGACTGGAGTAGTGATGCTGATATAATACAAGAAATATATAATATAATGAATGAATTACATTTGAAAATATATTAAAATAGAAATCTTTTAAATTGTAATATTTCACAAATTACTGTTTTTAATGTATATTTGATCATTAAATGCAGCCTTAGCAAGCATAAGAGGTTTTTTAATGGAAATATATATTATATATATTCTCACATATATTTAAAGGTGATGCATGTAATTTTTTCATTGTTAAATATGTATTTTTTTTACAATCCAATGACTGGTGCTATAAATATCAATCATGTAGTAAGGAATGGGGCCAGTATGAAAGCAGTACCCATGTGCATATCGGGGGACGTGGAGGACGGAGTGAGTTGGTGCTCTGCAGCGGGGCTTTTGAGCGGCCCACGCTTCAGATCACAGAGATCGGCTGAGGAGATGGGGAATCTCTGCAGCCCTGCTGGAGTACTAGGAGGAGTCGGCATGGCAGAAATGTCGTCTAGAGGTGGAACGGAGACAACAACAGGCTTGGAGCAGCTCGTCTCTCTGTTTATCAGCATCACCTGGATGGGAGCCGTGTGACTTCGCAAGTTCACCTGGTATTTCTTCTGACCATTGTGGCCCTGAGTCAACAAAAAAGGCATGGAGATTAATATACAGACAAAAATCACACACAAAAGAGCAAATTAACATCTTTTTCATATAAATGTACAAAACAAAAATGTTTTATTTAACATTTTTCCACTTTCACACTCAAACTGTTTTCAATAAAGATAAATTATGCTCAAGGTTAGTGTAACATACCATCTCCGGCACTGGGACCTCCAGTTGTGTCCCTGATGGTGCCATGACAGCTAGAAGAGTATCCCCACCAAACGCATCACATATGTCCTCATGCGTCACATAGCTGTATGTATGCAATTCTAAGGAACATATACCAATGGGGTAATGCACTGTAACTCCAATCCTTTTGTACATTTCAAAGAAAATTCTCTGACACAGATTTTCTCAGAGGAAGGCAATATTTCTGAGAGAACACAAAAGTTTTGAAAGCAAACGTAAAATAAATTAATGTAAAAAAATATTCCTCCTATATTTTTTCCATAATCATGCCCCCTTAGGGGCTTCGTACCATGACAATGTACGTTTTGAGATGGCTGAACTGTACATAAACCACGGCAAGTGTAATCCAAAGAGGAATAACTGGTGGGGTGAGGGTTATGAAACTCTAGCATGAACCGCAGTATACTAGAGACTGGAAAAACTGGACTAGGGCCACTCAAATACCCAACAAGGAAGGATAGCATTCAACATGCAATTATGTGCACTCCTCTGACAATGGCGTTTTCTGGGACTGTTAATTACCTGGGGAACCACCCAAAAATGGAATAATGTCAGACGAGAATAAGGAAAAAGAAAAAAGCAACTATTTCTGGCTCATACACTGACAGTAAGGATATCTGCAGCTGGAGGAGTCTTCATTCAGGTGCTTGATGCTTTGTTGCAGACACGCTTTCTGCATGTCCAGCTCTCTCTCTTGAATCTCCAGATCAGCAATATTTGCCTTGAGAACTTCCACCTGCTCGAGAACTTCCTGAGGCTGGCAGCCTGAACTCTCCCCCCTAATTGAGATAAAGCAACTGCATTAGAGAATTACGCAATGGAAGTATATCACACTGAGCATGCATGGTGCAAAGAATGCACACATCACAAAATACATTTACAGTATAATCACATAAGGAAAGTTATTTAGATAAATATAGTGTCAGTACAAATCAACATTTGATAACTTTCTTAATCTTTGTACTCACTTCCACTGAATCGTGTTTTTGGTCTTTTTTTCAATGAGCCCAATACCTTCCAGAACATTGGTGATGTCGTAGATTCTCCTCTTCTGTTTGACTGCCAAACTGTCTGCAGCCTATGAAAAATCACAATGTAATTATCAGAGACTGTCCAATCAGAAGAGAGGAAATGGCTATTTAGGGGACCAAATGTAATTTACAGCTTGTAACAACAAATAACAACAGCTCGGGTTGTTGGGATATCACAGAAGCTCTCAACTGTTATCAGAGGAGTACGAGTGCCATTATGATAAATATGGGCAGGTGTACTAGAGCTGGTCAAACTGACCCCATCTGTCCTTGTATGATGGTTGATGGTAATATGACGGAAAGTAACAAAAGGTACATTATATGAATACTACAGACTTTGGTCCATTATATTTTTAAAAGAAGAGACACAAATGCTCATGTATTTTAAAAATAACTGAACTAATAAAACAAATAATAATTAAAAACTAGGCTTTTGGCAATTAAGTACCAAATAATAACAATAACAACAATACACCGTTACCGCAAAAAATTTACAAAAAAAGGAAAATTCTTTAAAATTGGGACCCCAGAAATAACTCATTTTCATTATTTTTTACATAATTCTGCAATCAAGCAGCCCTGTAACTCAAATGTATAAAAATATACATTAAAATTGTTTTAACATTTTAACGCACGAAAAATTCTATCAATATCAACACACTAACATAGGATCCCAAACTAGTGCTAAATGGATTTAGAATTTAACTATAAATAGTTTTTTATTTTTATTTTATTAAAACCTTTTATTTAAATAATTATTTAAAAGCAACTCCCATTGGTTGAATTTTTTATAAGAGTTTACGGCCCTATTTTCTACCATTTTAGCGGAAAGTAGCAGGTGATTAAACAAAAAAAAACTAAAAAATACTGTCTCCAATGAATTCACAGTCTCTGCTGCCTCAAGCGTCAGGTAACAAACACCTGCTGCGAGAATCCCACGGGTTTCTGTTCAAAAGTCCCTCTGACACAATAACACGCCATTTCTGTTCGCTCTTAAGCACTTTTAATTAACTATGAGCCAAACACTTAGTAATTAAGTTACCTATATAAGAGCCTCAAAACTCGGCGAAGGTCCACTCAGGTAACGTTAAAGTTTCTTTGTGCAATTTAATTACTTTCATTCATTACTTCGTTCATTCATTCTGCCACTCGTAGCTAATTGTATTTTAACCCACCACTTTGAGATCGAGCACTCCATCTTTGGCCTCTTGAAGCAGAGTAACGAACTTGACTGTGAGGAGACCCAAACTCTTCTCATGGCGACTGGACCCGTTCGGTGTCGTGTGAGGAAAACTCGCGCTGTTCGACTCAGCCATACCATCCAAACGCCCGGTGTAATTCAAAAACACCCTCTTTGTCCCGTTTAGAGGTATGGAGGTCGACCTCAGTTTAGCTGGTGACGGTGAGGGGGAGCAACAATCATCTCTTGCACTTATTTACCTCAGGCTACACTTCTACTACTGATGGCTCGGGGGTTTTTAAATGAGAGGAAATGACGTAGGATTACTGTTACTATGACAACGTCTCCACTTGAGCGTTCCAGAGGTTCGTGCCAATAAAATGTTTCAAAATGTAGTTATTCTCACACACACACACACACACACACACACACACACACAAAAACACCGAATACGGAATAACAACGAGTTTAGAATTTAATTACAATTTAAACAGAAAAGTAAATAAAAAGGCGATGTTATATTAAAAGTGCATTTTATGATGCTGTATGTTGAAGGAACAACAGCTTTACAAAAAAAGTGTATATACCGGTATACACTACCGTTCAAAAGTTTGGGGTCAGTGAGAATTTTATTTTTATTTTTTGGAGGAAAGAAATCAATACTTTTATTTAGCAAGGACAGTAAAGACATTTATAATGTTACAAAAGATTTTATTTCAAACAAATGCTGTTCTTTTGAACTTCCTATTCATCAAAGAATCCTAAAAAAAAAAAAAAAAAAAAACTGTACAACTGACAGACCAACAACTGTTTCAACATTGATAATAATAATAAATGTTTCTTGAGCATCAAATCCTCATATTATACTGATTTGTGAAGGATCATTTGACACTGAAGACACTGACACTGCTGGTGATGCTGAAAATTCAGCTTTGATCACAGGAATAAATTACACTTTACTATATATTCACACAGAAAACAGCTGATTTACACTGGAATAATATTTACTACTATAACTGATTTTTGTTGTATTTTTAATCAAATAAGCGCAGCCATGGTTAGCAGAAGAGAATTCTTTTAAAAGTATTTAAAATCGTACCGACCCCAAACTTTTGAACGGTAGTGTATATATATATATATATATATATATATATATACACACACACACACACAAATATAATATTATTAATGTTTTATCATTAAAAGAAAACAAAATGCACAGTTACAGTCAGTTCACAGCCATTTAGTATTTATGTATGTGAAACAAAGCCAAAAATAGTTAAACACAGTAGGCTGGACTCTCATAAGTACAATAATTTCAGGATATGTTCATGTTGGCAGTCAAACTTAGGGACATACGTGACATAAGTCTTCTTATATAAGACATAAGGCATCTTCAAGCATTTTGTCTTTTGGTTTGTAATGGTAGGAGGTCAGAAGTCTTTCAGCACTTGTGTGAGGCGTCTCATTTTCTCCTCCATTACCCTTTTATTACTCTCAGTTTCCTCAAGCAGCTGGCGCATTTCCTCCTCCACCTGGAGCACCTGTGGTTACAGAAAAAGAAATTTGGACTAAAGAAAGAGTGCTGTTCAAGCATCAGTCATTCATTAGGACATAATTAAAAACAACTCATTCTACATCTGCTCATTTTAGTCAAACAGTTTGTCTGAACGTGACAACACTAGCCATATGAATGCAAATACGATGAATCAATACATAAATCAATACTGAAATGATAACTTGTTACAGTGGCAGTAATACCTTCTGATTGGCCTTTTCTATCTGTTTCTGTTTGTCATTCGCAAGATGAAGTAGTTCCGCCTGATGGGAAGCTTGTAGAGTCTCCAGTTGTCTACGGAAGGCATCGTCAACAGAGTGAAGCTTCTCCACTGCCGCTCTAATAAATCAATAAATCAGTTTTAAATGTATCAAATCTATACTACATTGGCCAAATTAGGACCTGCTGCCCATCTCATACGTGTGTGCTTGTGATGCTTTTTCCTTTTCCTCCAACAGCGTTCTCTCTTTGGAATCAAAACCGTCCTTCATTCGCTTCACCTGGCTCTCGAGCCTGTTCAACAGTTCAGCCTTTTCCTGCCATTTCTTACTTGAGGTCCTGCAAAAGTTTAATACAGTAGTGTATTTTGGATAGCTGTTGAATTTAAAGGATTATATCTGTGTGATGGAGTGCAACAGACATCAGCAGCCAGCCTTTAAAACAACAACAACAACACACTGTATTGCGCAATAAGTCAGGGTTACAGCTTGGAATCATAACATATTGGTGATTATTATTATTCCGTACCTGTATGTCTCTTTAACCTCATCAAGCTCCACCTCCTTATCAAGGAGCTGTTGTTTCAGCTCCTCCTTCCTGAGACTGAGCTGCTCTACTGTGTCTCTGAGCTCCACTGCAGAGGCCATTTCCTCCTCCATCTGCTGCTTCAGCTTTCGCTGGTCCTGCACACTCTCGTCACGGAGTCTACGGATCTGCTCATCTCGTTCCAGCAATGCCTAGAAGCAATATGTCCGAAAAAAATGAGTCAGGTGATGAAAACTGGCAATATTATACATTAGATTTTGCTCATCAGACTATTTTTTGTATTTAATGCATTAAATTAGCACTAAATTACACTACCGTTCAAAAGTTTGGGGTATGATAATGTATATACCCCCGGTTTCACAGACAAGGCTTAAAGGGATAGTTCACCCAAAAATGAAAATTCTGTCATTAATTACCCTCTTGTCGTTCCAAACCTGTAAGCCTATTCATTTTTGGAAAACAAATTAAAATCTTTTGATGTAATCTGAGCGATTTCTGTCCCTCCTTAGACAGCAACGCAACTGACACTTGGAAGCTTCAAAAAGTTCATAAAGAGATCGTAAAACTACATTTACATTTATTCATTTAGCTGACGCTTTTATCCAAAGTGACTTACAATTTCTATATATGTCAGAGGTCGCACGCCTCTGGAGCAACTAGGGGTTAAGTGTCTTGCTCAGGGACACATTGGTGTCTCACAGTGGATTCGAACCTGGGTCTCTCACACCAAAGGCATGTGTCTTATCCAATTTTTGCTTTGTATTCACATATAAACATTTATCAACTCACACATCAGTTGTGGTAAACGGAAGATAAAGCATGTTCGCTTGAAGTGCGAGAACCAAATTAGGTTCATTCTCCTGTTACGCAGCACGTTTGAGCTTCTGCAAGAGGTTTGTTCTCGCACGTCAAGCAGGTTTGTTTGAGTTTTCTTCTGTCTATGTTCGCTGATCAATGTTTATATGAGAATAAAAGCCTAAATTCAATCTGTTCATAATATAATGCGATCGAGTCTCTTCAGAAAATTTGGACTGAACCGCTCCATTCATTTGGAAAAAAGATCTTCATTTGTGTTCAACAAAAGAAAGAAACTCATACAGATTTGGAACAACATGATGGGAGTAAATGATGACAATTTTCATTTTTGGGTGAACTATCCCTTTGGGTGAGCCTAGTCCCTGACTAAAATGCATTATTGAGATTGTTTTAACTCAAAACAAATTGCACTGACATATCTTGAAATAGAGAGTGCTTTCAAAAACATTCAGAAAAACTTACAGACCCTAAACTTTTAAACGGTAGTGTAGATTTTGTGATAAAAGGAATGTCTTACCACAGGACCAATTAAAGATATTGAGAAGCATTTTGAAAAGTTGTACTGTTTAACTTCAAATGTTGTCTTATAAAAATGGCACTCATGGCATATTGGTGGATAATATGATTGATTAATTAATAAAGACATCATGCAATTGTAATAATGTATTAATCAAAAAAGATTATAATCAATTGACAGCCTTAATTTATATCTTAGATTATAGTTTTGTGAGTGAGTAGGACTTCACCTCTTTTAGTTTACGAATTGTCTCTGTCTGGTCATCAACAATCTTAGCTTTAATCCTGAGTGCATCATTGTCTCTCTCATTCTGCTTCTTGTGCGATTCCAGTTCGGTAAACAAAACCTCAATTCTGGCCTCCAGTCGACCACGGTCCTGTGCTAAGGATGCCCCTAAGCAAAAGGACAAACACAAAACTTAGTTCAAATACAAAAGACTATCTGCATCATGTTTTCTTAAAGTTACGAATGTACTGTGCCTTGCTGTGCAAGTTCCTGGCCCCAGATCTTCCTCTCTGCCCGTAGTCCATCTATGACAGACTCTTGAGCAGTTAGCTGGGAGATCAGCTTGGATTTGTCCTTCTTCAGTAGCTCCACCTGTAGGTTAAGTCGTTTATCATCCTCTAACCTGGATTCCAATGACTGCACACGGGCCTAACATGCAAAACAGAGCATAATGTAATTTATGAGGCACTTCTTAAGAACTGATTAAAATCACAACCATTCGATAATAAAAAAACAAACACCTGGCTACATTTCTAGACATGTATGCGTACATGATAATGATGTCGATTTCTATGAAGAAAAACAAAATCAATAACATATTTAAAAAAAATATTTGGTCTTTCTTACCTTGAATTCAATGGCAGCTTCTTTTTTGGCTTTGAGTATCTCAGTAATTCGTGTTTTCTGCTCTTTTACCATAGCTGTGAGTTCCTGCACCAGAGAGGCTGACTGCTTCTCTTTCTGCTGAGACTGGCTGAGGCTTGACTTCACTTCTAAGAGTTCAGCAGACACCAGATCAAACCCTTCCTTGACCTTGAGATCACACACACACACGTTGGGTTTCCATGTTTTATGGGGACTTTCCATAGACATAATGATTTTTATACTGTATATAAAAAACTGTATATTCTATCCCCTGACTCTAAACCTATCCATTACAAAACTTTCTGCATTTTTACATTTTCAAAAAAAGCTGTTTTCCTCATGAGGTCCAAAAATGTTGTCCCCATTACATATGGTTTACCAGGAACACACACACACACTAATACAAATGACAAATGCAACAACATTACTAAAGATTAAATCCATTCTGCAAACAGCTTGTCCTCTGTAGGGTCGCGAGAAAAGAGGCTGAAAGCTGAAAAATGAAAGCTAATTCTAAATAACAGTACATTTACATGTTCTCCCCAGTGACTTCAAATTTAGAATCAATTCAAAATAAAATGTAATGTCACAAAATATATATATTTTTTTTATTCTAATAAGACTATTCGGACAAAAAATGTTACCTCAAATTTAGATTTACCTCTGAGAAACGCTTTGACTCAATGGTGAGAGCAATGCGAAATTCATCCTCTAGAGCAGCATACTGTCTTCTAGAATCAGTGATCTTCTGTTCCAATTCAGCCTGTTTCTGGGCAAATCTCTGCTCTGTCGCTGCCACCTCTTTGT